GTCGGTGTGATAAAACAGGCCGTCATCACCTCTTAAAATCTTCATGCAGTGTCGATGTTTGAGCCTACGGTCTTTAAAAATCTGGAGTCTAATCAAAATCATGTCATCAGACATTTGTAATTTAGGGATGTTTAAAAATTATTGTTCAGGTTTATGTCTTTACATTTTCTCTCCTCTTCTGGAAAACTGTAAAAAGAACGAATGCTCAGTGTAACAAAAAGCTGATCCGGTCAGACAAAAGTGGGTTGCGGCTGTGTTGCTGAGCTTTATGTTGAATTTGAATTGTTTGCAAAGAGGTCAAAGAGTGCTTTCAGTCCTTTGTGACTGCGGGTGATAAGTTAATCTGTTCTGAAGGCAAATGCTGGCATGACTCTTAAAAAGCCTTTGACAGTTCTCACAAATCTTTATACCAAAATCATAAAAGCACGAGCAGGTGAATTGGTTCAGATATGTTTTTCCAGACAAGGTCGAGACTTTTCTTGGTGTATTAATGTAGTTTTTTTTGCCCTCTCTTTTTTCATGACAGCAGCAAAACCACAGATATAATTCATAACATTAATAGAACTACTCTCCTGAGGTGCGCCTGCCCATTACTTACTCAGACCTTTTTGTTTTCGTGGTCTTTAGCTCCATCACTACGAATTTCTGAAAGAACTACTTTTAACAACTGGTAAATGTAAAACTGTAGAAAAGTAGATTAGATTAGATAGAATTTTATTAATCCCTCGGGTGGGTTCCTCTGGGAAATTCGATTTCCAAAAAGCACAGCACCGACAGAAGTTACAGAATTATATATATTATTATATTTTTTTTTATTTTTTATTTTTTTATATATAATATATATATAATATATAAAAAAAATAATATTATATATATATATAAATATATATATATATATATATAAAAAATAAAAAAAAACAACACACAACACACAACACAACATACATACAGAGACAATATAAATAAAATATACGAAGGGGATAAATAGAATAAATAGGAATAAAAATAAAATACAAGTGAATTGCACATTTCAAGTATTGAGTCTATTGCACTGTTGACTATTTACAAAAAGTATTGCACAAGGTATTGCACAGTGAGGTGAAGAGGCACTACAGCTTAGTTGTTCCCCCCTCCTTTGTCCTCCTGTTTCTCCTCCCTCTCCCCTCCAGGAGGAGTTAAACAGTCTGATGGCGTGTGGGACAAAGGAGTTTTTAAGTCTGTTAGTTCTTGTCTTTGGGAGAAGCAACCTGTCACTGAACAGACTCTTCTGATTGTTTATGGCCGTGTGCAGAGGATGCCCAGCATTGTCCATAATGTCCAGCAGTTTCTTTAATGTCCTTTTCTCTGCCACTGTCACCAGAGTGTCCAGCTTCATGCCGACCACAGAGCTAGCCCTCCTGATCAGTTTCTCCAGCCTGGATGAGTCCCTCTTTGCTGTGCTGCTCCCCCAGCACACCACAGCATAGAAAAGTACTCCAGCAACCACCGACTGGTAAAACATCCTCAGGAGCTTCCTGCAGATGTTAAAAGACCTCAGCCTCCTGAGGAAGTACAGTCGGCTTTGGGCTTTTTTATACAGGTGCTCTGTGTTGCATGACCAGTCCAGTTTATTGTCCACCCACAGCCCGAGGTACTTGTACTTGTTGACCACCTCCACCTCCTCCCCCTCTATCTGAACCGGCAGTGGACCTTCTCTGGACCTCCCGAAGTCCACAACCAGTTCCTTAGTCTTTGAGGTGTTGAGTTGCAGGTGGTTTGTGTGACTCCATGCGACAAAGTTCCTCACCAGACTTCTGTACTCCTCTTCCTGATCATCCCAGATACACCCCATGATGGCCGTGTCATCTGCAAACTTCTGAATATGGCATAATTCAGAGTTGTAGCAGAAGTCAGAGGTGTACAGGGTGAAGAGAAGAGGGGACAGCACAGTTCCCTGTGGTGCTCCTGTGCTGCTGACCACTGTGTCAGACGTGATGTCCTTCAGCCTGACGTACTGTGGTCTGTCGGTGAGGTAGTCGGAGATCCAAGCCACCAGGCAGGGGTCCACCTCCATCCTGTTCAGTTTTTCCTGAAGCATACAGGGCCGGATGGTATTAAAGGCACTGGAAAAGTCAAGAAACAGGATCCTGACCGTGCCTTTTCCCCCATCCAGGTGTGAGTGGGCTCTGTGTAGGAGGTACAGGATGGCATCCTCCACTCCGACACCCGCCTTGTATGCAAACTGTAGTGGGTCCTGGGCATGTTGTACCTGTGGTCGGAGGAGGTTGAGGAAGAGCCGCTCTAGAGTCTTCATAAGATGTGACGTCAGTGCCACCGGTCGGAAGTCATTCAGCTCATTGGGCCGGTTCTTTTTGGGGACTGGGACGATGCAGGATGTCTTCCATAGGGCGGGCACTCTCCCCAGTCGCAGACTGAGGTTGAAGACTTGTTGTAGCGGCTCCCCAAGTTCAGCAGCACACGCCTTTAGCATCCTAGGACACACCTTGTCTGGGCCTTGTCGTAGCTCGATATCAATAGATTATGTCCAAACCTATTAACATGAAGCTATTTTTGGTCTGACTCAGTTTACAGTTAGGTCATGTGGTGTATGTTAATCCTGATTTTTGATTCATAGTTCGTTGGATTGATTAAATATTCAACTTGAGATTTTAGGGGGCAGGAAACAAACAGGAAGTCAGCCCGTTGTCTCCACCAACTTAAAGCAAACTGACTCTTTAGAAGCCAAATCCTCAGCTAGCTGGTAACTTCTCTCTGGTGCTGGTGGGCAGGAAGAGTATAGCTGAGCGACAGCTCCCTGCTGTGGTGGTAAACAAGGCTGGTAAGAAGAAGCTAAAATGCTTGTCAAGCTGTTAGAAACTGCATTCGAGTGACAATCGAGATCATTATCTTCTTAATGGTGCTCTAGAATTTGAGCAACAGGTACTAATGAACACGCTCAAATACACGTTTAAGCACACAAAGAGAAAATAGAAGCAAGGCAGGATCTGTGCTTGGCCACAGTAGAGAGTCTCTTTCAGCCAAGAACATCATTATTTCATTTTTATAATGTCAAAGGGTTCCTGGCTGTTCCTTTCTGCCATTTACATAAAAGAATATAAACATCAAATTAAATGTAATCAACATGGAAGGAAAGAAAATGTTGGCTTAAAGGCAGCAAAGAAGCAAAATGGACAGAAAGGACAACGACGCGTTCCTGCTGAAGGTCAGGAGGCCAAAGCATCAACCCACACGTCCACCTTGGAACATGTTTGAATACCCTCCACTCCGCTCCGCCTACGAGACTCATGCATATGTGCACATCCACATGAGAAACAGTCAGCCGGTCATTACGGTGCTACACGCGTACAGTATATACTGTACAGAGAGCTTGCAGTGCGCACAGCGTTCTCAGCATTCTTCAGTTTTCTTTGGTGAATTCATTTCAGGAAAAGTTAAAGTCACAAATGTTGATGTTCTTTAGTCTTAAACATTTAATTGAAAGAACAAAAAAAGTAACCTTCAATCTGCACTTACTAAACATTAATGACGAGTTTTCTGCTGATCAGTTAAGTCAGAAACTGACATCTCTGATCTCCAAAGGTAACTCCAGACTTTTTAGATGCTTCTTTTCCATGGAAGCTTCAGGTCTGCAGGCCTCTTCAGATTTTCTTCAAGGACCATTTTCATTCTTATTTCAGCTCTGATGCCACCATTCATTAAATTTTATTAGATTCAGTTCAAGAAAAAAACCTTCACAAGCAGCTGCTCAAAGAAAGGTGCTTTTGGGTTTAAGGATTTGCACAACTAGTAAACTAGACTATTAAAATGTTTGAACCAGAAATATTGGTCTTTAAACCCAGGGACTGAACTAATGCATGAATGCTGTTAACTGTTGGGTCGCACATAACCACTCCACCACAGCAGTGAGCAACCACAGGCTGCGCAGGTGTGCAGGCTTTAACCTGCAGGGAAATGAGGCACTGCTAGCACTGCTAACTTTAGCCTCAACTGACATTGTGTTTGTGTTCATAAATGGCTCAAACGGCCACATATTTCGGTGAGATTTGTCAAAGAATATGATTTTCAGCTTTGAAATGCACATATGAAATTTGCACAGATAATGCAGATAATAATTATCTGTTCAATTTGGGAACTTCATACTTTTTACACTATTTAATTCGTCTACTTTTCCTTATGTAAACGAGCAGTAAATTTGTCTCTTGGAACATCTCGAGCTCATATTTAGGACTCTTGCTGTGAGGTGACAGTGCTAACCACTTAACACAGATAATAAGCGCTGAGAGGTTTGTCTTACTTCTTATGGCTGCCGTCTGCCTAGTTTACCATAAAAGCCTAATTGGTGAAGTTCCACTGTAGTGGGTGTCGTTCCCTGGTCCTTCCATCTCTGCACTGAAACTTTTAAATGTCTTTCTGAGTGATACATGCACAGCGGTGTTGATCTGTCTGCCACAATAGCACTGCAGTCAATTTGATGTTTATCTGGAGAATTACTAATGCAACCAGGATGTACCTGACCACAGTTTGCAGGGGCACAGCAAAAGATTTGAATACACACACATTTTCATGCACGCACACAACAAACTAAGTTGTATTAACACGTTAACACGCCACAGCTTTACAAAGCTCGTCCTTGGCGATGTAGAGTTTTCCGTAGCACTGTAACTGCACATCATTTGGCATCTTTTTCTAATTTAATTCATCCGTCTCTGAAAGAAACTTTTAAATGCCATCAGTAGTATGTTCCAATTATTGCAGCAGCTCAAAAGGCAAAAACCTGTGCAGTGAATAACAACAGGAGACCATAAAATAAAGTAAAATTCAATCAAACTTTTCTGATGACTCGATGTTTGTGTGGATAGCCTAAAAACTTTTTCCATCTCTCTGTTGCTTTAACTTCTAAACATATACTGTATTATATTAGCCTAGTCATGCAATATACTATGAAAATGTTTAGAAAGGTGACTGATTTGTCTGTCTCGTTTCTCTGTGTTTGTCCACAGCACAAAGACACCCAAACAGGCAGTATTTGCTGGAAGCATGCAGCTCCTGGCGGGTATCAAGCTGTGCACAGGCAGAGTTCTCACCAACCACCCCCATTATGAAGATAAAGACCTGCGGGAGCGGACCAGACAGGTACTGTAGGCTGCAATAAAACGAAACTGCCAGAGGGGTTGCAAGATAACACGAACACAATAAATGGAAAATCTGAAGTAAATTGATGGTAATTACAGTGTCAGCTTCATAACACCGAGTCAGGTGGATTTGAATGCCAATTAGCTGCTTGGATTCGCTTTAAGAATAATCACAGCTGTAATATTTGTGTTTTGAAAGAGGTGTGAGATCTGACAAAGCTTTACGAGCCAGTGATATCTTTTAAAGCGGAATTCAGTTCACTTCAGTGGATATTCATCAGTTCACAACAGCAATTTTCTCAAAATGTCTTGTGTTGTAAAGATTCTACCTGGAGTCTTTGTTTTTATTCATTTTCACAATTAAACAGAATGGTCGAGAAAAAGAAAAAACCCACTTCTTCCACCTCACGCGATCAAGTCTGTTTCAGAGGCTAAATAACGGTGCGATTTCTCCCACCTTTTCTCTCCCACTTTTGTTTTGAAGTCTTATGCATATGTCAGCTCTTCCCAGTGTGTAGATTGTTAACACTTGTAATAACCAAGTTATTGTGTGGCGATGCTTCTAGAGCCAACGCTTAGTCATGGCTTTTTTGTTCGCTGCCAGTAGGACCTTTAAAAGATATTTGTCTGTGTGATGTAATTCATCTGGAAAGGGTCCAGGGTAAAGACATGTAAAGTTAGAAAATGCAGAAATGTGACCGTGATCTGCCGTCTTTTCTCCATCTTCTCTCCAGCACACCGGTTGAGTTCCAGTTAATTTAGATTTCAGTTTAAGAGTAACAAAGAAGTCCCTCCACGTCCAGTTATTACTTGTTACTTAGGTATCACAAAGGTATCACATGCTCTGTGTTATCCTTGTTCAAAGAAATGATAGTTGTTTTGTTTTTTAACCTTTGGGTCTTTCTGGAATTATATACATCAATAACTATCTGAATATTATCTGACAGTTCTTGTTCTTACAAATATAATCACAGATTTGTAAGTATCTGTGAAAGTCCCGCTCATATAGCTGAGTTTGTGTGTTAGTGCTGTTACTGTGTGGCTTCCCAGAGACATGGGTCACGTTAGTACACAAACGCTGTTTGTGCGAAACTGGTGAAATATTCACATCTCGCCCAATGTCAACGCACCTCGACCCTGAAATGGATACACAGTTAAGGAAATGGATGAGTGACAACTTTGGGTCATCTGTAATGGAATGTATAATAATAATGTATACTTTATTAATCCCTGTAGGGAAATTACTCTGCATTTAACCCATTCACTCAGTGAAACAGTGGGCAGCCCACTAAGCAGGCGCCCGGGGAGCAGTGTGTACGGACAGTACCTTGCTCAGGGGTACCTCAGGATAGCCGTTCAGTGGATTCAAACCCCCGACCTTCCAATCAAGGGGTGACCACTCTACCTGCTGAGCTATCCCTACCCTTGTTCATTGAAATGGTGCACTAGGCTCATTGTGGGTAGGTAAGGGGAAAAAACGAGCAGTTGAAACTCAAGTTTAAAATTTATATGTACAATTAGAAAAACAGTTTTTTGTTTCTGTCATGGAACATAATACAAGGCTCTAGAGTGCGACCAATGTGGTCGCAAATACGACCAAATTTTTCAGTGGTGCGACTAAAAAAAAAAATTTGGTTGCACCTGTGCGACCAACTGTTCGGGTAGCGAAAAAAAAAAAAAAAAAAATCTGCAGCCTTCCCTGTGGTCAACAACAGACACACATTTTGCCCCTATCGTGGACTAAACCAATCAGAGATAGTAAGGGGCGGGACCTCTATGATTGGCCATGGTCCAGTTGAAAGTGCAGGTGGAAGTGGGAGGTGAGTAGCTTGAATAAAGCGATATCAATTCATTAAATCCTGAATCGACTTTTAAATATTACTGTGTTTTGCCAGAAACGCCAGATTCTCAGATTAAAGCTCACAAAACCATTTCAAAAACAACCAAACAGCAAATGAGAGCAGGTACACGGATTCCACACAAAGACGTAAACACAGACCCGACGCATCAGAATCAGCTTTGTCTTTCTCGACTTTCTCACCCGACGGCCCGTAGACGGACACGCTGTCGGAGCTTAGCGGTTCTGATGCGTCCGGTCCGCGCTGTGTTTACGTCTTTTTGCGCTGATTCTGAGCTGCAGGTTTTGTCTCTCCAACCAAAATCCACCGAGCCAGCAGCAAAAGAAGCAGCAAACTGCGCTTCACATTTGATCAATGTCATCATGAATTTTGCTGTTTTGCTTCCACGACTATTAAAATCACACTTCATGCACAGCTAGCTCTCTCTCTCTCTCTCTGTACTTCAAGAACAGTTTCCTGTCTCCAATCTCTGTTTTCTGTATTATTCATTCGCTTATTACCCACCAGTCTACCGTTGTTTACAGCGCTGTGGCTGCTGTCTTTTTCTTTTCTTTTTCTTTTTTTCCACTTAAATGACTTCGGACAAGAAAGCCTGTTTTTTCTGTTGTTCAATACTGAAGAAATTTAAACTTTATATGCAGAACAATATTTTTAAGGTTATCTGCTATAAAAAGCCAGACCAGGAAAATCTCCTTCATGTTTTTCTGTGTTTTATTCTCAGTTACTTTCACACAAAGGCATCTGCTGTGATGTTCACAATTCTGATGAAGTCAGTACTGATAAATGATCAGAATTATAATATTTCTGACTGTCTGAGGCCAAGTTGAATCGAATCGGGACTTTGAAAACCGGAATCGAATGGATTATAGAAATCAGTGATGATACCCAGCCCTAGTGAGCCGCCTAGGCACGACAGACGTGGATGTAGCTGTAATAGGAAAAGAACTATTGCTAACTTTTCTGTTAAGGCCTGATCCTTCTAAAATTCATAGCCAGTGCTCTGACACGGTGTCATCAATCTTTGAATGCTGAAAAAGCACAGTGTATCCAGAAAAACACATTATATTATGTAAATTATTATAAAATTTGTGTGCGCCTAACTTTTTAAAGTTAGGCATACCGGTACGCCCATGGCAAAAAGTTAGTCTAGAGCCCTGTAATAGCTTTGTGTTGAGGGTAGGGCTGTGCGATATGACCGAAATCTCATATCCCGATATAAGAATTCTATCATCACGATAACGATATAAATCACAAAAATGTAAAAACAGGCGCTTGTCCGTCTGTAGTGTGGTTATATAAAATATAAGAGAAAGAGAGAACTTTAAGAAATGAATATAGCCACTACAGTGACCATCAAAACAATGAAAAAATATTGCCGTAAACAGCTTATTTTGTGACACCGCAAAACAAACGATAGCGTAAAATGAAACGATAGACGTTTTTATATCGTCATCCGATATATATATGGTTATATCGAACAGCCCTAGTTGCTGGGTAGAACCAACCTGCTCACACTCAGATGCTGGACTGCTTTCACATCAGTCAGGAAGGGCTGCTGTGCAGATGCATCTATTGCTTTGTAGTTCTCAGTGCACAAATGCTCAACTAACCCCAGTCAGTGTGGATTCCTTTTTTTCTTTGCTTCTTGTAAACGTGCGAAGTGAAACAATTTAATTCTATAATGAAAACCCCCTAAAACCCATTACCCCTCCAGACCCCCCCCCCCCCCTCTATTTTTTTTCTAGCATTTTTTTTGTCCCTCACTTTTTTGGGGGGTCCAAAATGGCATTAATACACCATTTGCGTGAATGTGTGCGTGAATGGGTGGATGACTGGATATGTAAAGTGCTTTGGGGTCCTTAGGGACTAGAAAAGCGCTATATAAATACAGGCCATTTACCATTTAAAGTTATTTTCAAACACTAGAAAAAATATTGAAAGCCTCATTGTGTGCAACCTTCCTTATCTGCTTTTAAATCACGTCTTAAAACACGTCTATTTACCTTTCAGCACAGCAGGACTGCCTCTTAATATGCTTGTTATTAATTGTATTTAATTTTAAGATATTCTAATGTAATTTAAGCTGTTTTCTCTTTACTTTGTATTTGTAGCACTTTGGCCAACATTGTAAAGTGCGTTATAAATAAAGATGCTATGCTATATATTTTTCAGTTTTGGTAATTTGCATTTTGAATTATGTTCTTTAAAAATCCAAAAAATGAACAGTGAAACTGGAAATGAAGTGAACTGAGATATTTTTGTGTTACCAGCCACAGTCCACAGTTAGACTAAAGCCACAGTAACTGAGTGCGAGTGTAGCTGCACACCATTTATTGCATTTTCCTTGTTTTGATTCAATTTTATTTAAGTAATATTTAACCTTTATACATTATTTTGGTGCCGCAGTCAGTGTCAGAATTTTCAGGCTATTTCCAGATCTCGTGGTTGCGTTTTTCCCGCCCTCCTCTACACAGTGAAATCTGTTTTGTACAGCATCCCCACCCATCCATCTCACTCAGCTCTGTGCTAATGTCTTGCGTGAGAGACCAGGGAATTGTCTGTAGATGGGGGCCATTGACCTGCAGTGATTGTCTGAATGAATATGGGATCAGAAGATGCACTGAGTACATTGTGCATCCATTACAGTGGGATGAATGGTAACGTAGGAAAAATGGAGCCTAAAAGTGCTGTGTTCCAGTAAAGGAGAGATGAATGGTGGCGCATGTACTGAGTGCATATTAGTATTGTAATGTATGTGAGGAATGCTGCGGAGGCATTGTTTTCTTTTTCCCTTTTTCCGTGAATGTTTTTTTTCCTGCTGAAATCAGGTTTAAAGCAGCAAAGGCAGCGTTTCACTTTACTTCTGTGTATTATTCATGAATTCTCATTGTATTGTGTTTTCATTAGTATATTTTTCCCTTTGGCCTGTTATTACATGCCCTGCCAATGCACTTAAATAACTGGTTGTCACTCCCATATTGACTGAATTCAGACAGTGAAATAGAAAACATGACAAATATCACTTTTTCCCAAACATGCTGCAAACCACATGCAGCTAATGACCAAACACAATGGAGAATTACCTTTATTATGACTTTTTTTTCTGCTTCTGCACGCGGTGTGTCTTCTTTGCAATGAGCGG